AGAAAGGTTATTAGGAATTCCAAAAGAATTTAGTAATATGAATATTAATCATGTAATTAAATATTATATTAGAAACCTTTTAAATATTTTTAATAAAAATATATTAATTAATATTTAAAAACAATTATTAATATTCTAAAATTTATCTAGAATAGTGATAATGATGCAGAATCAAATGATGAAACTATTTTAAATGGATGTAGTTATAATCTGAGAAAAATTAAATTAGAGTTAATGGAAATAAATAGTACTTTTAGATATTCTTAATATCATGTTTAATATCCTGAAAAATAAATTAATTAATAAAAATAATGATTATTAATTATTATTTTACTTAAATATAGTATTATATTATATTAATATATTTATTAATTTTTATTTATTTGATAATTGAGAATAAAATAGATGTAAAAAAATAAGTTTTTATTCAAAATAAAATTATTTCATTTTTTATCATCTATATAATTATTTAAAAAAATAATATAAAAATAATGATTTATATTAAAACTATTTTAATAAAATATAATTTAAAATCAATTGAATTTTTTACTTTATAATTAAATATTATAATTTTGGTTTTTTTTAACTTTATATATTTTAGAAATCTTTATTTTTGTTAATATAAGCATTTTCAAAATACGAGATAACATATTGAATTAACATAATAATACATTAAATTATCTTTAAATTTAAACTTTTATTTATTTTTAAAATACAATTAATTTAAAATATATAATAACAATAAATTATATACTTATAAATAGAATAATTAAAATACTTTAGAATAATTTTATAAAATTTTAAATAGCCAATATTAAAGCTAATTCAAAAAAAATATTTTAAACGACTTGTTAAATATATAAATATAATCAGTCTTTTTTTTTTGTTAAAAAAAATAAAATAAAATAAAATAAAATAATAATATTAAATTAAACGAAATATAATTAAAATATTTAAGATTAAATGACAATTAAATAAGATTGAATTTATTAAGATTATAAAAATGTAAACGTACAAAATATAAAGACAAAAATATAAAATTTCTATATAATTTATATTTATAAATTTCAATAATAAATAATTATATAATTTTTTATATCTAAATAAAAATTTTATTTAAATTAAAATGCTTATAATAAAATATTCTTATTGGAAAAAATTTGGGAATTGCAAATATAATTAATTTTCAAAAATATAAAAAGACTATTATAAAATACTAAATATTAGCAATAAAGCTAAAATTGAAGATATAAAATCAAGTTATTTTAAATTAGCAAAAAAATATCATCCTGATACTAATCCATCAGCTGAAGAAAAATTTAAGGAAATAAATGAGGCATATTAAGTTTTAAGTGATACGGAATAAAAAATTCAATATGATTAAGATTATTATTAATAAACATAAAGTTAAGAACAATAATAACCTTTAAAATAAAAAGAAAATTATTACTACAACATAAATATAAATAATAATAATAAATTTTAATAATATTGGTAATCTTAAGGATACTAAGATATTTATGGTAAATATTAAGAAGTTTATGAATAAAATGAGAATTATTAAATGTAATAACATAATTAAAAAATAAAATAAATAAAACATGATATTAGAAATGAAGCTTTCAATAGTCTTTTAAATAAAAATTATTAAAATTTTGAAAATGATAAAAAAGATAATTAACAAATTAAAAATTAATTTAATAATAATAAATAATAAACATATTAATATAAAGAAAAATAAGAATAATTAAATCAATAATTAAAAATATAATAAGAAATTTCAAAAATAAAAGAAAAAGAAATAGTAAAAAAATAAAATATTAAATATATTATAACTAATATATAAAAATATAAAGTACAATCAAAAATAAAATAAAAAATTTAATTTAATTCTAAATATATTAAAATATTAAATAAAATAAAAAAAAATAGAAAAAAAAATAAAACAAAATATTTTAAAAAAATAAATGTATAAAATAATATTTAGAAAAAAATGAAATTATATAATTATAATGAAAAAAAAAAAAATTAAATTAATTAAAAGTAAAATAAAATAAAATAAAAAACAATATAAATATTAAAAAAATATATATATAATAATATATAAATATATATATATATTTATATTTTTATTTATATATATTTAATTATTTTATTTTATATATTTCATATTACATATATATTTTTTTTTAATTTTTAATCAATTTATAGTAAAGATAATTAAATGAATTTACTGTTAATTTAAACATTTTTTTTAGCAAAATTGATAATATAAAATCTAAGATTAATGTAATTATTTAATTTATTTTATTAAAATAATAAAAAATATTTTATTTTAGAACATAAAAGATTCATTTTTTAATTATACATAAAAATAAAAATGATATATAACTTTTATATTATATATATATATAAATTAGATTTATTTGTAGATACTTATTTCTAGTTTTAATTTATTATTATTAACATATTTTTTTAAAAAACTTTGATTCTATCTATTTTTGTCTTTGTATTAAAATTTAAATATTTTTTTTTAAAAAAATTTCTACTCTTGTAGTTTATATACTGAATTTTAATTTTACTAATACATTTAATCAAGTAAATTAAAATATACCTTATAATATGTTATAATGATTAAGTATATTAATTTATTACTTTGCTAGTTCATCATAAGATAATATAATCTAAATAAACTATCCTATCAAATCATATATTAAAATATCGAAAATATATAATTATGTTTTTTTTTTTATTATAATTTTTTAATTTACATCAGCATTTTATAGTATTACAATAATAATTAAATTACATATTTTTTTAATAATTCGAAATTCTAAAGCATATATAAAAATAACTTTCGAATTTCTTTGAAAAAAAATATTAACATATATATTTAGAATCATAAAAAATACATGAAATTTACCTATAATAAATTAATAATCCTATTTTAGTCTCATTTGCCATCATATTCAATATGCTTTTTATTTTTTTACCTTTATGGTAATTTTATAATATAGGAAACGACTTGGTAACTCATTTTATGAAAAATCAATTTATCTCAAAAATTAATCTTATTCTTATTTTTCTCCTGTTTTAAACTAAGGAATTAGAATTCGTTTGTTTTTTAATATTTAGGGCTTTATCATAGAATATAGATAGAATTATCCTTCTTTCTTGAATATATTCATGATTATGGAAGGAGAATTCCAGAAGGCTATTAACTTCTAGGATCGGTTGGTCAAGGAGCTAGACTGAAGCTTTCTTTAGGTCTTTCTTCATATAAATTTTTATCCTTAATAATCGTTTTTTTTTTTTTATTTTAAAAAAAAAAAGAATTTAGAGGTTTAAAAAAATTAATGTGAGAAAAATAAAAAAATTATTTGAACAAAATTTTCAAAGTTAGAGAATTAAAAAATATAAAATTCTTATATATTTTTTAGTCGAGTGATAATATTATACTTCTTAAAAATATTCACGAATTTATACTAGTTTTTATATAATTATTATAGATTATTATTAAATTTATATAAAATAAAAAATGAAAATATTATATTGAATTATATTTTAAATTTTTATAGATGATAATTTATTTGAAAAAAAAGATAAATATATATTATTGTTTTATATTAAAATATGTTTAATAAATTTATATGAAATATAATATTGGGTAATTGTTTAATATTAGATTAGTTTTGAGGCTGAAATATTATTTTTTTCTTTTTTCTGAAGAATAATATAAATGTTTTGTCTATATATATAAATTATTAATCAATTAGCCAATTATATTTTCCTTTTAAATATTTAGTATGTTTAATAAAAGCATATTATATTTAGTTAAAAGAATATATAAAAGTAAATTTATCATTAATATAGGTATAAAATAAGATGTTGAGATTTTGAGTTATTTTAAGTCAAATTGAACCAAAACATTTAAAAATTAAAATAGGAAATTCTGAATATTAAATTTCTACGCAATAAATCAAAAATAATTTTTTTTATTTCTTTATTAAAATAAACTTTACAAATACGAAAAAATACGATGTTAATCATAGTTAATATAAAGATATTTCTTTAATTGTATTCAAAGTGTATTACAAACTTTAATTTATCAAATATATTTAATTAAATTTAACTCCTATTAAAAATACAAATTATGTACGATACTAAAAATTCCTCTAATTAATATCACTATATATAATATATTATTATTTATAAATTAAAAATTATTTATAATAATTTATAAAATACTAAAATAAAAATAAAAAAATATTATTTATATTTATAACAAAAAATAAAATATTTTTTTATATATAAATAAATAAATAATATATATATATTTATATATATATTTTTTAAGTAAAAATTTATTATTAAAAATTCTTTAAATTATCATTTATTTTTTTAATTGTTATTTCTGTTTAAATTTATATTATTTTTTTTTTAATATTTATCATATAGTTAATTAATATTATTAAAAAATATTTTTAAATAATTAATAATTTTAAAATAAAAATATTAATGAATATATATAAATATATTTTATTAATAACTTTAATTATTAATATTATTAATTATAATTTTTATGGGCATTAAAATATTTATTTATTTCTATTTATTATATTATTGAAGCTTATTTCTATAATATTTTAATATATGTTATAACGTTTTTATTATTTTAAAATAATTTTTTCATATATATAATTACACTACCTCATATATATTTCAGTTAGAAAAAGTAAAAAATTGCAAGAATTATTATTTAATTATATTGATAATATGATATATAATGATAAATAAAACTTCTTAAATTTATAGCATATTTTTTATTACAGTAAAAGTTATATTGAAAAAAAATTTATTGATAAATTAAACTAATTTTAGTTTAATTATTTAAAATTATTATTTTTTATTTAATTTTATATATTTTTATATTAAATCAAATATTAAATTTTATAAAAGTTTTTTTTTATAATTAATAATTAAATTAAATTTATGACTTATATTTATATAATTAAATATTAATTTTAATAATGATTTAATTTTGAATAAATATAATATATAAAATATATTAAACTATAAAAAAATAAATATATATAATTGTAGTAGGTTAAATCATGGATAGCTTCTTGTAAATGCTTGTATTCCAGTAATAGCTCTTCCTAAAATAAGGGCATGTATATCATTAGTACCTTCGTATGTATTTACTGTTTCTAAATTAATAGCATGTCTTTAAATATGATATTCATCAGCAATTCCATTCCCTCCTAAAATTTCTCTAGCATCTCTACATATTTTAATTGATTTCACTAAATAAAAATAAAATTATCAAATATAGAATAAAATTTTTATTATAATTAATATATATATCTATATATATATATATAATGTTTTTTTACTGCATGAATTTCTTTTTATTAATGATATCATTTCAGGTGCTAGTGTTTTTTATTCTTTCATTCGTGAAACCTAATTTTATTTGATTTTTATAATTAAACTATAATTAAATTTACTTATAAAACTGCTTGTAAACCCAATGCAATTTCTGTTTACATTTCAGCGAATTTGTGTTAAATTAACTAAAATGCAGCTAATGGTACACCAAATTATTTTCTATCTAAACAATATTGTCGGGCGGCATGAAAACAAAATTCTGCTGCTCCTAAAGTTCCCCATGCAATACCAAAACGAGCATTATTAAGACATGAAAAAGGTCCCTTTAAACCTTTAACATCTAACATTTAAGATTTATGGACTCTTACATCATCCATAACTATCTAACCTGTAATTGATGCTTTTAATGAAAGTTTACCCTTTACAATAGTAATTAAATATATATAGTTAATATTAATAATTTACATCTATTTTAGGGGCTGTTAATCCTTTCATTTCTTTTTCTAATACAAAACCTCTTATATCATTTTTATCGTCTTTAACCCATACTACAAATACATCTGCGATTGGGGAATTAGTAATCCAAGTTTTACATCCATTTAAGATATAATCATCACCCTTTAAAAAAATATAAAATCATTTTTTTTTTATTTTATTTTTAATATTTAATTTTAATTATAAAAATACATCTTTTTTAGCATATGAATCCATAGATCCAGGATCTGATCCTTATTTTTTATATAAAAATATATTAAAGGAAAAAATAAAACAAAAAAAACCATGATTAGGTTCTGTTAATCCAAAGCAACCAATTAAATCTCCTGTAGCTAATCTTGGAATATATTTATCTTTCAAATGTTTTGATCCGAACTCATTTATAGGATGCATTACTAGAGAACTTTAAACACTTAAAGCACTTCTATAACCACTATCAACTCGTTCAACTTCTCTATTAATTAATCCTGTTTTGATTTTGAAAAAACATATAAATTAAATGTATTATGTTACCATAAGCTGTGTATGATACTCCAGGTAAATCATAGTCTTAAATAGTACAGCCTAAAAAACCCATTTAACCATATTCTTTCATAATATTAACATCAAATTTTTCATGATTATAAGCATCCTTTATACGGGGTTAAAGCTTGTCTTAAGAAAATTGGCGTGCATTTTCCATTATCTTTATTTATTAATTAAAAAAATAAACATATTAATTCATTTTTGAAATACTTATAATTCATCCTAGGTCAGGCATGCTTTAAAATTTAAAGCATCTTCAAAGTTATATTTTATGAATTAACTGAAATTTGAAAATAATTTATTATTTAAGTTTTTAGAAATAATTAAAGTAGATTTAGTAAACATCATATTTTCTCTTGATATGTATATTTTTTATTTAATTTTTAAAAAATTATCATAAATAAATATTATACTATATAAATTAAATTATCATAAATAAATATTATATTAAAAAAATAAATATATATATTAGAAATTTCTAAAAATATTTTTAAAATAATAAATTTGTAATAAATATATATTTATTATAGTTATATAATTAAAAAATATATATAAAGAATAATAAATAATAAAAAAAAAATTAATAAATATTAAAAAAAATTAAATTTAAATGTATTAATTAAAATAAATTAAAAAATATAAAAAAAATAGTAAATAAAAAATACAAATAAGATATTTTTTATAAATAATAATAAAAAAATAAAAATATTAAATGTTAAATTCTTATAAATAAAAAAAAAAAATTAAAAGATATGATATAAATTTTAAACATTTAAATAAAAATATAATATTTAATATACTTAAAATTAAAATATGTAAAAATATAAAAAAAAAATGCAATACTATTAAAAAAAATATAAAAAATAATATATAATAATAATAATAATAATAATAATAATAATAATAATAATAATAATAATAATAAATATAATTATTAGGAAAAAGTTTATAATTTAAGGATACTTATATGAAATTTAAAAACAATAATATAACTATATAGTATATAAATTTTTAAAAATAATATAATCATAAAGTAAATAAATTAATCTATCAATAAAGAATAAAGTTATTTTTAATATGAAAATAATATTTAAAAATATAATATTTGTTATATAATTATTGCTAATTAAATATTAGAATACAACTTTATTTAAAAAAAAATATTATCTTTTATTATTTTTTCTATTATATAAATTAGCAATTTCGAATTTTATGTGTAAAATATTATAAATTATTATCATTTAAAATACTTTAAATGTAAATATATATATGCAATAATAACTTATATACCATCTTATTTCAAATTGCTCTTTAATAATATGAATAATCATTTTAATAAATGACAAAGATAAGTAAAATATTTAAACCTTTCTTAACAGATAATACTTAATTCTGATTTTTTTAAAAAGTCATTTTATATTTATTATATAATAGATAATCTATTTTTTTCATATATTGCAAAAAAATAACAAAACTATAAAAATATTGAATATAATCTACATATATTGTTTATTTAAATAAAATAAAGAATATATTTATATAAATAATTTTGTTTTTTTATATATATATAACAAAATATTTATAAAAATTCAATTTTAAATTAATTTAACTTAAAAGAAAAATATAAGTATAATTAAAAATTGGAATATAGATAGTATTTTTATATATATTTTTTTAATAATTTTTAAAATTAATATTTATCAAAATTAAAAGAATGTATTACTATTATGATATTCTTGAAAATTAATATTGAATAAATAAGTAATAAAATTATATTTATAATTTTTTTTTTTAAAAATATAATAACATTTTTTATAATTTGATTAAATAAATATAAATAATTAAACAAAAAATATTCAAATAAACTCTTAAAATAGTTTTTCATATTCTAAATTTAAATTCACATTTATCTATTTTTATTTTATTTGTAAAAATTTATTTAACTTTTAATATTTTTAATAGCTATATTAAGATTTGTTTTAATATTCCTCATAGCTATTAGTAAATAATTTATCTAGAACTTATTCTGATATTTATCCGATTCTATTATTTATTAATATCCCCATAGCTTTTAACAATTCAATTTCTTCTTTTCTATTTTCATAGCCTTAAATATATTATTTCTAATAATTATTGCATAACCTTATTCATAAATAATTAAAAAAATAAAAATAATTTAAATAAAATTATAAAAATAAAAAAGATAAATAATTAAAAATAATGATTTATAAAGGAAATTACTAAACTGTTTATAGACCAATTTATTTATTTCTTTCAAACTCTTCCTACGCAGTTTTCATAATAATTACTTTTTCATTAATTAATTACTAATTATAGTCTATGGAAGTTTAAAGATTTGTTATTTAATTATCCAGTTATATAATTATATTTTTAAGATTTAGAACTTTTTAATCAATTTAAGTAACTATTTCATTTTTATCTTATTCGTCTTTTTTTAATTTTTAAATTTATTAATTTTATATTTGTCTTAAGATTCCAATAATTTAGTTTAGTAAACTATCAGTTAAATAATAAACATTTTTTTAGTTTAATATATTAAAAATTGGTTAAATTAAGATAGTAGCATTATTTTCTAATGATTTCAAAAATAAGATATTTGAAAATTAAATTAAAGTACTATATTCATTCTCCTAATTCCAAAACTAAGGAAGAATTTATATTAAGTTATCTATTTCTTTATTAAAAACTTGAATTTTCTTTTTATTTAATTCAAAACTTTTTATTGTATAATCTTTATTTTATAAAAGACTTTAGGATTATTTAGTGTAGTCATTTTATTATTACTTTAATTGATTTTATTATTAAATTACTTACTTATTTTAAGTTGCTAAAGATGTTGCAATTGCTTTATTTTAATTAAAAATTGCTAGTTGATTATTACATTCTAATTACCTAAAAACAATTTCTTAATTGCAAAATTAAATTTATTTATTAAAAATATTATCCTTATTTTATTATTCTTCAATCAATACCGCAAAATAATAGTCAAATAAATCAATTAACTCTTATATTGGTAATTTTTAATCTTTTGTTTAATTAATAAATTAATTTATTTATAAAGCAGATAATTCATAAAGACCTATATGGGTTTATGATTTTAAAAAAATGCATTAAATTTTAATATATTAAGAAAAAATATATAATAAAAAAAAAAATTTAAACATTTTATTTATCTATTTATAATACTTATAATTCTAAATATACTTTAAAATTAAAATGATATATTAAAAAGATATGTATATAAATATAAATAAAATTTAGAAAAACACGAATAATTAAAATAAAAAATAAAAAAAAATTTCATAGTTTAATATTTAAAAACGAACAAAAATATTGATAATAAAAATAATAATAATAATAATAATAGTAAAAATAATAATATAATAATAATAATAATAATAATAATAATAATTTTTCTAATAGAAATTTTACTCTTTATAAAATAATAATTTTAACATTGATTTATAAATTAAATTTATAAATATAATTAATAATATTTTTATATTTTATTTAAATTTAGCAAATATTAATTATTAATATATAAATTTATTTTGTTTTTCATAATACTATATATTTTTTTTTATTTTTATTACTTAAATATCATTTCTATTTAAATTTTTAATTATATAAAATATTATAAATATTATATTATTTTCTATTTCTTTTTTTTTAAATATAATAATTTAATTTATATAAATTATTTTTATTTTTTAGTCTATATATATCTAGCTATTTTTTATAATTTATATAATTCTAACACATTATTTTTTTCTATTTATTTTTAAAAACTTAATTATAAAATATATAAATTATATAAAATTTCTAATTAACTTTCATTTTTTCTACATAATGTTTATAATAAACATTAACGGAAAATCTATCGACTATAATATTATAATATTAAGTTCAAATAAATTTAAAAATATATGCTTAATAGATTTGATACTAATTGCAATTTTTTTTAAAAAATAATTAACTTTTAAAAATATTTTATTAAATTATTTTAAAATAAAATATATAAATTAGAAGTTTAAGATATATGAAAAAACTAAATATAACACACATTAGATTTTGAAATTATAACAATAAATGAAAAATATTATAAAATAAAAAAAGTTTTAAATAAATATAATAATTTTAAAGATAGATTATTCTCACTGAAAAATATAGATATTAAATAATTTCAATTTGGTTAATCTTTCCATATTTTACAAGTATTATCTTTAGAACCTTTATTTAAATATTTAAAAAATAAGCAATTTATTTGATAAAATAAACAACCTGTAATAATTATATCTCCTTCATAATTAAAAGAACAAGAAAATATTTCGTCAGTATGTCCCTCCAAAACCTATAATTATTCACATATTTCAGCACTCCAAATTCTTACAGTGCAATCTAATCCAGCAGTTACTATTTTAGTACCTTAAGGGTTAAAAGAAATCTTTGAGATTTCCCCTTCATGTCCTTATATTATATATTAAATGAAAAAAACAAAAAACAAAAAATTATACCAGTTAAAATTCCTATACAAGCTCCATTATTAATATTATAAACTCTAGCCGTCCCATCTGCACTTGCAGTAGCAAGTCTTGTTCCCGTTGAATTAAAAGCAATATCCAAAACTTCATCCACATGTCCCCTAAGGGTTTCAACACATTTGCCCGTTGCAATATCCCATATTTTGCATGTTCTATCAATTGAGCCTGTAGCGCAAAATTCTCCAGTAAATTCGAACTAAGTACTAGATATTTCACCAGTATGTTCATCAAGTACATGAATACATTAACCAGTTCTAATATCCCAAACAATTGCAGTTCTATCAAATGACCCAGTTAACAATTTATCGCCATCAGCATTAAAATTCAAAGATACTATTTCACCTGTGTGACCTTTTAATGTAAATATTTCAAGGCCTGTTTCTACATCCCATAATTTAGCAGTTTAATCCATTGAACCAGTTGCTAACAACTAAGCTTATGGATCAAATGTCAAACAAACAATTTCATATTAATGTCCTACTAAAGTATTTATAAGTTTTCCACTTAATGCGTCCCATATCTTTATTTTTTTTAATTTTTGAGTGATATATAGCTTATGCATATTTAATAAATTATTATGTTTTTACTTTAGCTGTTTTATCAAATGAACCAGTAGCTACTTTATCACTTAATTATTTTATTTAATTTTTGTTTAAAATAATATTATTTTTTTTTACCCAAAAGGATTATTAAATGCAATACAATAAACAACATTTTTATGCCCTTCAAGTGTAAAAATTTCTTCTCCAGTTTCTGTATCCCATATTTTGCATGTTCTATCATATGAACCAGTTATAAATTTGTCCCCGTTTTTGTTAAATGCGCAGTTTGTCAAAGGTAGTACATGAGCTTTTAAGGTTTTTTACAATTGAAAATGTTATTTTTTTTCGATTCTAATTTATCGATTAATTCTTTATTTTTTATTTTATTTATAAGTAATATTAGTACTTTATTGTTTTTTAATATTACTTTGAATTAAAGCTTTTAATTAAGGCTTTCTGTTTGGAGTTATTATTGGTTCTTCCATTACTATTTCATTTACGAGCTAATCAACATCAGTTCTTTAAAATATTTAATTAAGTATTTTTTTTTAAATTATTTACTCTTGAGATAAGTTTAATAAATCAATAGATTTGTTTTCCATTTCTCCATTTGAACGTACATATTCTAAAATTATGCCTGGAGGATAATATCTGAGTAAAAATCTTTTAAGTTTCATTTAAAATATATATATATATATATTTATTTTAAATTTTATTTTATTTATATACAAAATAGATATTAATTATTTAATTTAAAAAACAAAGAGAAAATATATAGATTTTTTATTAAAATAATGGTAATAATATTTTAGTTATATAAGAGTTTAAAATATTAATTTTTTTACAAATATTTCATACAAAGCTATAAAAATATTGGCTAATAATATATATTTTTTATTTAAATAAATAAACTTTTGTAATTGCTAAAAAATATTAATAAATTTTAAGACATAACTAAAATATATAAATAAACTAAAATACACAAAAATAAAATGTATTTTTAATAATTTTATAAATATATATTAAGATAAAAAATTATAGTAAACAGTTTAATAACATAATTATAAATTATACCATTAAATAATATTTCACGTAAATTAAATATATTTTTCTCCATAAAATATTTAAAAATAATTAAAATAAACTTTTAAATATTATTTATTTGTAATTTTTATTTCAAATCCTTTTTAACAAAAAATTGATAACTGTATTTTTTATAATGATTTTAAAAGTAAATTAAAAATAAAAAAAACAATGTGAACAATAAATATTAAAATATTTTTCTTATAGTTTTTTGAAAAAAAGGTTTATATATAATTCTTAATTTTAAATAATATTGTAAAAAATAAACTTTAAAATTTAATAATCATAATATATTTTATCATTTATTTGTTTTTGTTTGTCTTTAATAACTTTATTACTTTATTTTTTTAAATTTTATAGATTTTATTAAAATCTTTTATATTTTTTTAAAAATTGAATTTTAATATTACAACTTTTTTCCTTATATGTAAATAAATTATTTAACTATTTAATAAAAAATTAAATAATAATTAATATATAAATAAATATAAATTTATATAAAATATATAATAATATATATATATATATATATTATTTATTATATATTTATATATTAATTTATATATATATTATTATTTATAATATTTTTTATTAATTTATAATTTTAATATATTTAAAAATAATTATACAAATTTAAAATAATTTTTTTTTTTATTTTTTTGCTATTTTTAAAATTAAATTGTAAATTTTTTTATAGTTCAAATTAATTACATTTCATTAAAATTTATAATGTTCTTATAAAAAATAAGTAAACATTTATGTTTTAATTAATTTATCTAAAAACATATCATTATATCCCTTTTCATCAATCATTTATTCATGTATTTACTTAAAATCAACAACACTTTATCCATACTTATTATATTTTAAAATAGGTTATTCCGGCAAGAAATTTAAAATATTTTCTTTTAAAATTAATCTTGTTTTATCAACTATATTTTAAGCTTTTTTAAATAATAAAATATTAATTTAAAACAATAAAATAACCATATTTTTCACTAAAATCTGCTTTAAATTTAACGAACTCTGTTTCTATTTAATTTTTGATTAATTTAAAGAATTCCAATTTATAAATTTCCTTTAAATAAAAATTTTAATAATAAAATTATAATATAAATAATAAACTTTCTTAATATTTAAAATTTTCAACTCATCAAGATTAACAAAAATAATATTACTATATAATGCATGATATTTATTTTATTTGACAAATTAATATGACTATTTAAATAATAATTTATAATAGTATATAATTATCAGTTAAAAATGTTTTATTTATTAATAACTTAATTCAATCCTATAATCATAGGAACAGGGGAATCATAAATATTAGAAAGAAAACTTGGAACGGTAAATAAAATAGGATGAGGCCATCTCAAAGGCTTAATGAGCGAATGAAAAAATAGCCTGATTATAAAATATGTTTAATTAATTTTAATATTTATTATTTATATTAATTACATACAGTGCTTAAGATAAAAGAGCTCTGTTTATACTTATAAATATTATAGACTCTTCAAGTAATAAAGACAAGTAAAGATATATAAAAACTTCAAATTTTCTAGAAAATATCTTCAATATTTAAACTATTCCCCAATAATGCTCTAAATTATGAGAATCAATTTTAGATGGAATTTCCATATTTAAAAAGGAAATTATTATTAGAAATCTCTTATTTTAAATGATTAGAAATGTTTTAATTTTTCTTATAATTTATCTTATATTTATTTATAAAAAAGACAATCTATTTCCGAATAGTTTATATTTTCATTTATTAATTGAAGCTTTTATATTTTTATTTCATCTTTTCAATAAAAATTTTTATTAAGCATATTTATATATTTTTTTACTTATTATGTTTTCAAGACTATTTAAATAAAACTTTATATGAGGAAATTTTGTTACAAAGCAATAAATAACATTTAATGAGTAATAAAACCCATTTGTCTTATTTTTCTATATTATATATATATTTTAAAATAAGTTAAAAAAAAATATTAATATTTGCAAAAATTTCTATTAAAAAAAAGCTATTATATAATTAAAACAATATATTATAAAAGAATTAAAAGATTAAATATTTGAATAAATATATTAAAAAATCAAATCTTTTATTTTATAAATAAAGTAATATTATTATTAAAATACCTTTTTTTATTTTATTAGTCGTTTTTATTTTAATCTAAAAAGTCTCTTATTTATATACATATGCAATATAAAAGCCTATTTGGATTGAAACAATCCATAAGTTCACTTTTTTCCATATTCTTTTCAAATGATTCATTAGTCTTAATAGTAAAAACAAAGCAATCTTTATTTTTATCAAAATTAGAACCTTAATATATTATCCTTTTGAAGTTTAAATAATTAATTTTAGAAATAATAAAATAAAATATATAATTAAAACTATTCACTCATTCAAATCACTTAAAGATAATGTTTTTCTAAGCATTTGAACTGGAACTTCCTCAGAGAAAGCAAATTAGCAAATAGTATTAGATATTTGCTAATTACATTAACTGTTTTAGGGATAATTAAATAAAATTTGAGGCTAAATTCTTTTTTTTTTATATAAAAAATTGATTGCTTGTTATTAAAAAAAGTTAATATAATCCTACCTTACCTAGTTATTTTCTTTACATTATTCAAAAACTTTATTTGGATCAGCAGATATAATATAAAACTATTCCATTAAACTAATTTCTTATTCTTTTTAATTTAATTTTTTACTTTCTTTAAAATTTTCTTTTTATTAAATGTTATCAATATTTATAGGATATAAATCAGAATCAACAGAAGTAAAATTAATTTCTGAAAGACTAATAGATTTATTATTCTAATCATTATTTTATTATTAATTAAAAGAATTTAAATATTATAAATTCTTTTCGTATTTTTCCTTTAATTATTAAGATGATGATTAATGGCTTTAATATTAGTTTATACTAGAAAAATATTCTTCATCAATATCTTCACTTTATGAAGAAGAATCATTATCATAATTAATGAAATTATTTATTTAAAGTTAGTGTTTTTTTTAGACAAAATCTGACTGTTTGTTTAAAAGCTAATTTTTTAAATCATAATTTTCTTGTTTTAATTGATAATTTAAATATGATATTTCTATAAACTAATTTTTTAATGATTTTAAATTTTATTTTAATTTTTAAATTTTATCATTATATCTTCTGTATTTTAGAACAGATTCTATTTGTATCCTTTCTGTTTTTTAACTTAAAAAATTAACTTTTAGTTTTAAATTTGAAATATCTTCTTAGTTTTCGAATTAATCTTAAGTACACATTTATTATAAATGTAAATCTATTTATAAAATTTTCTAAATAAATATTTATATTTAAATAAAAATTTATTTTGGGGATAAATATATTTGTATAATTTTTCAAATTAAAAAAACTACCATAAGATAAATATATGAAAAGCTATTTTCAAACAAACTAAAAAAAGTATTTGCGCAAAAAATCTAGTTTATATCATGACTGGATGATTGGTGCCTGCCTAATTACAGGTGTTGGAATGTTTGCCAACTATTAAATTAAAAAATTAAATCCATAAGATCCTGAAGAAGATGATTAATAAGATAATGAAGTTGGTAAACTTATATAAATTATTTTATTAAATTAAATTTAAAAAAGTAATTAAACAAAATTTGTCTTAATATTTGGAAAGCATTTTCGCATAAAAATATCGAGTATAGAAAAAAAAAAAATTATCGTTACATTTATTTTTAATATGTCAAATAAAGTTATAAAAAACAAAGTAAATATATTTATAAGATTAATAATTAAACAGTTAAAAAGAGAGAAATTAAGAAATAGTAGGCATTTTATAAACACCAAAATGGAATAGTTTGGAAGAATGATTTTTTTTTTTCATTTATTAATTAATAAATAAATATAAATAAATTAATTTAGGCAATCATGTATTAAAAAAAATTCAATTATTAAAAAAAAATTATTAAATAGATGTTTTTATAAAAATAAATAATATAAAGTTTAAATTTTAATAATATATAAATAAAAAAAATTTTGAAATAAGAAATTAGTAGTTTTTTTTATAAATATTAAAAATATATATTTTGTTAATTTATAAAAATAAATAAAATATTAAAAATTTATTAAATATTTATATGATATTAAATATTTTTAAGTAAAA